AAAGTACGTTCCCTAGAAATTAATGACTCAATCACTTTTTGGAATTTTTGTTTTCAAACTTATGAACTAGATTCAATTTATGTTGCTTACACACGTTTACTGCATGTTATAGAAATACATTAGTACATACGTACAATAATTAATAGTATACACACAACCAAACTTACATGGATTCACTGTGTATTACTCAATACACTTGGTATCCAACATTAAGATAAAACTTTTTGTTCAAAATAAACATGATAATAAAAGAAACGACTGCTGCGATTTATTATCTTGTGAATTTTGTGTTCAGACGTAAAATCACGATCCTTAGGTAATTTTATTTCGGTCCAAAAAAACAAAAAATGCCTTATGTTGGACTAACAGATGTACAGAGGGGAAGAATTATTGCTCTCATTGAACAAGGAATGTTCCAATGAGACATAGCAGAGGTAGTAGACTATACCCAGGGTGTTGTTTCGAAAACATGTGAAAGGTACTTGGAACTAGAAACTCTCAAGAACAGGCACAGACAAAGTCGTCAAAGATTCACGACTGAACAACAGGACTGCTTTGTGTGCCAAATTGCTAGACGAAATCCCAGTGTTTCTCATCCAGAGCTACAACGACAACTTCTGGAAGCTACAGGTGTGAACATTTTAGTTGAAACCCTAAGAAAAAGACTTTGCGCTCGAGGGTTGAATAGTAGGAGAGAGTTACGGGTCCCACCATTATCTAGGCAAAATAAAATTGACGGCTAAATTGGTGCCTTCAACACCAAAACTGGACAATTTGGAATTAGCAAAATATTATTTTTTCGGATGGTACCAGAATTGGCCTAAGATCAGATGACCATCGAATTCAGGTTCCTAGAGTTCCAGGAAGATTAGCGAGAGTCAACGCTGCCAGATCTGTCACAAGATATCAAGGAGGAAATGTAATTTTCTGGGGAGGTATTATACTGGAAGTAAATACTACATTGTTATCACTTCAACAAACTTTAACTGGCCCGAGATCTGCAGTTGGGGATAATTTTATCTGTATGCACGATAATTCACCTCCCCATACCAGCAAATGGGCTAGAGAATGTCTTGAAACGAAAGGTGTCACAGTTTTAGACTGACTTGTATGTTCACCAGACCTAAATCCTATCGAACATTTGTGGGACAAGCTCAAAAGAATGGTTAGAGGTTAGAGCTCGTCGAAACAATGCAGGAAATGTTGCACAGCTTATTGAGATAGCATTAGTAGAATAGGAAAACATACCCCAAGACAATGTTCATAATTTAACAAGAAGCATGTCAAGGCGAATAGAAGCTTGCATAAGGGCTAGAGGTGGTAACACGGATTGTTAAAATTACCAGTTTTCTTTTTGTTTTTGATTCGGGCTATTAAAAATGTTAATCTAATCTTTCAAGGGCGACAATGTTTTCTTTCTGTTATTATAAGTGTTTTCGGAAGAACTATATTTAGTAGTGGCCGCGGAGAAAAATATTTTTGCAAAATACCACTAATTCTACTGTGATGTCAAGAAACCTATTTTCAAAATGTACTATTAATATGCTATTTTGGTGACAAAATATTATACAGTACGCATTTCTTGTACAGAGTGTCTAACATATAACAATTAATAGATCTCAAAAACGTAGGACAAGTTTAATAAAAAGGTATAATAAATTTAAAAAAATAAAAAATAAATAATGTAACAATATATCATTTTAAATATCTTATAAGGTACCCACAAGCACATGGGCGTCTTATAAACGTTTAAAACGTGTCCTTCATAAAAGTGATATAAATTAATATATCAATTCTCCAAAAACCTTTATCATCTATTATAAAATAGTGCAACAAATGTTTAGTGGTACAATTAAGAAATAAACTATTCTACGCCTAATTGTTATTAAAATAAAAAACCCTGTACCTCACAAACTAATTATTTTAAAACACACCAAAGTTGGATTAAAAATAAGGAAATCCATTTACACAAATTGTAGGGGATATAGCAGGACTTTCCCAGCAAACCTAAACATGACACAATACTACCCTCGTCGAATATTGAAATATTTTTTTGTCTTTTGTAATAATCAGTACTTAAAAAGCACTACATTTAGATTTTAGTAATTAATATTTGACGTAGTTTCATAGTATATTACATTACAAGTGATGTACCTACAATATTTACCCTATACGACCACAAAATAATTTCATCAAAATAACCAGGAAATCTGTTGGTTCTAGGTTTGCTGTTTATTTACCTTATTAATTTTGAATAAATTTGCGGCTAGCATATTGTTTTGTGGCGATTCCATTTTACGAACACATTGATAAGATAATAAAAATAAATATTAGGTAAAAAGAATACTACCTATATATAATACAAAAACGTTTTTTAAAGTGCAACAAAAATAATAATTTTTATGTCCTTTGTCAGATACTAAAATGGCATTTTTAGTCTCTAGGGATTAAAAATTTACCTATAATCTTCAGGGATTAAAAGTTAAAAGTACAATGCACTTATGCCATACAACCGAAAAAAATGAGTTCGAAGTATAATATATCGTCATTGCTTTGTTATTAGAGTACCGTTAAGTGGTTTTTCTAAATTTTCTTTTTTTTTATTTTTATTTTTTTTTTAAAGTAGGTACATAAAATAGCGTATAAATCACGTTACTGAAGTGTGTCTTTTAATCACTCGATTTTTCGCCTTGAGATAAAAAGTGGCACTTCAATATCTTGGTGTATACTCAGACAGCACACCAAATCCTTTGGATATCTTACTGGACATCCCAATATCCACTGAATGTCCAGTCCATGGTGGATATCTATTTTATGTCCATGAGATGTAATTTATAGACATGCAAATGTCCATAAATAATAGTAATTATATAGCAAATTATTAAAAAATTACGCCATTGTGCTCGCCATTGTGGCTAATAGTACCGTTCAGATATTTAAAATAAATTTTTTTAAGGTGTATTCAATATCCCATGGACATCCACTAAATATATCAAAGTCTAGGCGCGGACGCAAACCATGGTGGATATCCACTAGATGTAATTTTTGATTTTGCTTACTAAGTATAGATGGCGATACCACTTTCGCTCGTTGAATATCTACTCATGCTCAAACCGCCGTAACTAAGTTCGATCGAAATTGGTATCGCAATCAGACTCCATTAGAGACTGGAGTCGAGAATTTCTATTTATTGCTGAAGAGTCGTAATAAGGATGACTTTCTCCTTAGTGGTCAAAATCAAAGGCAGAGTGTTGAAAATATTTTGAGTGTTGAAAATATTTTTATCTTTCCTCTTTTCTTTCGACGTTATTCAATAATCATTGGTTACTTATGAACCTCTACTAAAGATACCCATAAAATATTTTGCTGAACATCCGAATATCTTCAATATCCTGGGATATAGACGGACATTTGGATATCCATATTAGATCCACTGGATATATTGGATATCCACAAAATATATTCTATGGATATCTCTGGGATTTCTTGTATTGTCTGGAAGATACCCATTAGATATTTTGCTGGATGTCCATAGGATATCTTCTATATTCAGGATATAGACGGACATTTGGATATCCATATTAGATTCACTGGATATTTCAGATATCATGTGGATATATTGGATATCCACAAAAGATATTCCGTGGATATCTCTGGGATTTGGTGTGTTGTCTGGGTAATATATACTATTACATCCTTTATTTTTGTTACGAGTTGTCAAGCCCAGCTGACGTATGATTTCCCCTCTGTGGTGTACCTATTTTTTTAATTGAATCTGTGACATTTTTAATTTTTGACAAAAAAAATTAGGTTGTCTAAAATGCTTTTAAAATCATTTTTTACATGTTCCACGTGGTCTCCTAGCAATTGCCACCTCTTCCGGGGTGTCCCATCAGATGACTTTATCCCTTTCGTTGTCTATCAAAGTTTACCTATATATGACTACCGTTAAGAATCTAGCGACCTGTAAATACTCCTTGGCTATTTCGATAATCATTTAATTTTTATCCCAAGAGTCTATTTATTACGGTTAAATAAGTTCCAACGTTTTTTTAAAGTTATTTTTAACAACAAAAATATACTTAGAATCAATTTCAATCTTTCACCTAATGTAAATACGTATAATTATTAACAATATAGAATAGAAAAATATAAAATATCATAAGTATTGAACAATATTATTGGGACAACTGGTATAACATAAAAAGGTGAAAGACAACCTGTATACCATGATGAACTCGATTTTAGATAACACCACGCTTCCCGGATCAAAAAATGAATTCTTGATTTCCACTATTATGCAACCCAAAGTACACTAACTGTGTATTTTATTACGTGGCTCGAACAGTAAGCCGGAAAAAAATGTTTTTTGAATAAATTTGTAGCATTCACGAAGTGAGTCTGATCATTCAGCCGCAATATGCGATGAAAATCCAGTTCTCCGGATTTTTTTTTATGAAAACTCGATTTTTTTGGTTTTTTATTTCGCCGCATCCGTCACAGATTTTGTTGCCTATGTACTGTGCAGGAGGTAGAAAATTGGGTGGCGTTGTAATGTCAGAAACGGGGCAAAAAAGGTAAGTTTTTTCCGATTTTTTGCCGTAATTATTATTTTTCGACTTTTCGAAAGTGATTTTTTTCCATTCTTCGCGATTTTCTGCGAAAAAAATCCGAAGAATTCGCGACAAGGAATATTTTTATAATTTGTTTAGAAGAAATCATTCACAAAATTCACAATGGCGGGTAAAAGGTTACTTCACGATGAACGGGATTTATAAAAAAAAATTATGAAAATAAATAAAAAGATTTGTTTCGAAAAAAATCGTAAATAGTTTTGATTTTCGATATAAAAATACAATGTGCGGTGCGTGGTTATGCGGATGTTATTCGAGTTATTTAAAACTAGTCTTGTCAACCATACTTTTCTACTTTTAAGGGCATTGCACGCATCATGCCCTTTATATCGGAATCAAAGAGAAATGGTAATTTATGACGTATGCATTTCTTTATCTATTGAAAAATGTTAAACTGTACTGTAATAATAAATGCATTCCTGTATGTAATTGTGCTTGTAAAATAACTGTTATTTCTTGATGGTTACAGTTTTAGGTCAAATAACTCTATTCTAAACAGTACATCCAAGTGCAATCTACCATAAGTTCAAAGCAAAATTTCGTAGTGAAACATGGTGTTTTTAACAGGTAAATATTAGAAGATGGATCAACAATTTTGTCTGAGATGGAACAACCATCCCACAAACTTGACAGACGTTCTAAGCAGTCTTTTGAGAAGAGAAGCACTCTGCGATGTTACATTAGCCTGCGATGGAGAAACCTTCAAAGCCCACCAAACCATCCTCTCAGCATGTAGTCCATATTTTGAAACAATTTTTATACAAAATGCTCATCCTCATCCTATAGTTTTCCTCAAAGACGTCAATTACAACGAAATGAAAGCACTCTTAGATTTTATGTATAAGGGCGAAGTGAACGTGTCCCAAAATTTGCTACCGATGTTCCTAAAAACGGCCGAGGCCTTGCAAATAAGGGGCCTCACCGACAACAATTCTTTAAGTAAAAACGATGATTTATCTGAAGTGCCAAGAAGAGACAGGGACAGGTTAGGTGAAAGAGACAGCCCTCCAAGTGAGAAAAGGAAAAGAAAATCATCTTCAAACTGTGATACAACATCAAACTTAAACTCTGAAAGGTTTAACGACACTCAGGTATGTCATTTTTGTGTATTTATGTTGTACATATTTTATTTTTGATGTTTTGTACTTTTTTTTCGTTTGGCCACTTTATCCTTATGTATAACCACTCAAGACTTAGCCCATGATTCTTCGTCATATTATTTATGGGTTTATTACATTTTTATTTAATCATATTATTTGGTATACTTTTCTGTATACTTTGTTTATATTTTAGAAATTTTTCCAACTTATTTGCTATTATCATTATCCACAGCTCCAAGAATATTGCTATAATTAATTATTGTTTCATATGGTTATTGAAATATCTAGGATTTTGAAATTGCCAATGATTCTTTTAGGTCTAGATAATTATAATAAGACTTCTTTTGATTTCTTCGTTTTTATTTGATCAAATTTCATAGTTTCCCATTTTTTATTTAAAAGAAACATATTGTCCCCCTCATCTTCTACTTATTACTTATGGGTTTATTATATTTTTGTTTAATCTTAGAATTTCTACTTTTCCATGTATTTTCTTTATATTTTAAGAATTGTTCCAATTTATTTTCATTTTCCTCAGCTCTGAAAATATTTAATTATTGTTTCATATGGTTAGGTAATAAGTACAAATTTGTCCTTGATTTCAAGTATTTATTTCGGTCGAGATATTTAGATAAAAATTCTCTTGATATCTTAGGTTTTATTTAATGAATGGACAGACTATCAGATTTAATAGTTTGTTCTACCTGTCTCCATATTTATTATTTAAAATAAACATATTGTCATCTTCACTTCTACTTATTACTAATGGATGTATTATATTTTTGTTCAATCCTATTAGTTGTTCTGCTTTTTCATATATTTTCTTTATATTTTAGGAATTGTTCAAACTTATTTGCTCTTATCATTATCCATACCTCCAGGAATAATATTACTTTATTATTTCCTATGGTTAATAAAATAATTAGGAATTCAAAATTGTCCATGAGTTTAAATATTTCTTTTAATGTAGATACCACTGGTGGATCCAAGGAGGGGGCTATGGGGAAATTGCCCCACCTTGAGACTAATAATCCTAGTAGTTGATACCTTTGACCTTTAAAATCTATTGAAAAAAAATCAGCCCATGCTATGAACACATCAAATTTCCCCCTCCCACCCCTGGAAAGGTTCTAGATACGCCCCTGCTAGATACAAAAAAATCTTTTGATTTCTTGGTTTTTATTTGATAATGGATTTCTTGTTTTGTTGTAGTTGTCTTCATATTTATTATCTAAAATAAATACCTACATTCCTTCTATTTTTTCTTTTATTTGCTATTAACATTATCCATGGCTCTAAGAATATTTTTATTTTACTTGGTTTCATATGGTTAATAAGTACCTAGGAATTCAAAAGGGCCCACGATTTTAAACATTTCTTTTGGTCTAGATACTTGTATCAAAATTATTTTAATGTCTTGGTTTTTATTTGATTATTGGACATACTATCAGATTTCACAGTTTGTTCTTGCTGTTTATATTTATTATTTAAGATAAATACATTGACCCCTTCATCTTCTACTTATTACTTATTTATTACATTTTTATTCCATCATTTTGTTTTGTGTTTCAATATACTTTATTTATATTTTAGGAATTGTTCCAACTTATTTGTTATTATTATTATTATTATTATTATTATTCACAGCTCCAGGAATACTATTGCTTTAATTTATTATTGTTTCATATGGTTAAAAAGTATAAGAATTCAAAATTGCCAATGATTTCAAATTTCCTTTAGGTCTAGATATTCATATAAGACTTCTTTTGATTTCTTGGTTTTTATTTGATTGGCTGACTATCAAATTTTACAGTTTGTTCTAGCTATCCATATTTTATTCATCTTTTACTTATTTCTTATTAGTTTATTAAATTTTTATTCGTTTTAATTTTCCACATATTTTATTTATATTTTAGGAATTGTTCCAACTTTTTTGCTATTATCATTATCCACAGCTTCAAGAATATTGCTTTAATTATTGTTTCATATGGTTATTGAAATATCTAGGATTTTGAAATTGCCAATAATTCTCTTAGGTCTAGATAATTATAATAAGACTTCTTTTGATTTCTTTGTTTTCATTTTATCAATAGACTGACTATCAAATTTCATAGTTTGTTCTAGCTGTTTCCCATTTATTATATAAAATAAACATATTATCCCCCTCATCTTCTACTTATTATTTATGGGTTTTTTATATTTTTGTTCAATCATAGAATTTCTACTTTCCCATGTATTTTTTTTATATTTTAAGAATTGTTCCAATTTATTTTCATTGGCCTCAGCTCTGAAAATATTTAATTATTGTTTCATACGGTTAGGTAATAAATACAAATTTGTCCTTGATTTTAAACATTTATTTCAGTTTTGATATTTATGTAAAAATTCTCTGGATATCTTAGTTTTTATTTAATTAATGGATAGACTATCAGATTTAATAGTTTGTTCTGGCTGTCTCCATATTATGTATTATTTAAAATAAACATATTTGTCCCTTTATCTTCTACTTATTACTTATGGGCGAGCTTATGGATTTATTATATTTTTGTTTAATCTTAGAATTTCTACTTTTCCAAGTATTTTCTTTATAATTTAAGAATTGTTTTAATTTATTTTCATTGGCCTCAGCTCTGAAAATATTTAATTATTGTTTCATATTGTTAGGTAATAAGTACAAATTTGTCTTTGATTTCAAATATTTATTTCGGTCTACATATTTATATAAAAATTCTCTTGATATCTTAGTTTTTATTTAATTAATGGACAGACTATCAGATTTAATAGTTTGTTCTAGCTGTCTCCATATTTATTATTTAAAATAAACATATTTGTCCCTTTATCTTCTACTTATTACTTATGGGTTTATTATATTTTTGTTCAATCTTAGAATTTCTACTTTTCCATATATTTTAACAATTGTTCCAATTTATTTTCATTGGCCTCAGCTCTGAAAATATTTAATTATTGTTAGGTAATAAGTACAAATTTGTCCTTGATTTCAAATATTTATTTCGGTCTAGATATTTATATAAAAATTCTCTTGATATCTTAGTTTTATTTAATTAATACTATCAGATTTAATAGTTTTTTCTAGCTGTCTCCATATTTATTAGTTAAAATAAACATATTGGCCCCTTCATTTTCCACTTATAGCCCAATCAAATAGACCTTTAAATCAAAATTTTGGAGGAAATACAGGAATTTTTGATATAAGTCACTTTAGAGTATTTGAAAATGATACGTAAAAAAATTTTGTTTTTCAGGCACCGGCAAATGTCAAAAAACAAGAAAATAAAGTGTTTTTTAAGGTTATATAAAAACGGTAGGTGCTATAAAAAAAGTTCTTTATAAAAATTATAAAGCATAAAGTTTTACATAAAAATAGTATTTGACATTTTTTGCTATTGTTAAAACTGACAGAATTAGGGTGGTTAGAAATTAAGAGGAGATATACCTATATGACTTGGAAAAATCATAGCGAGCTGAAAATTCAATGGTTTTGTAGTTTCTTTTTATTATTTACTCAGAAAATTATAAATTTCTTTTAAGAAAAATTATTTTTTTTTGTTTTTTAAGTTATAACAATTGAAGTTCCATTAAATAAATAAAATAAAAAAAAATAAAAATAAAGATAATAAAAAATTAATAAATAAAAATAGGTAAATTAAAAAAAATATAAACAAAAATAAATAAAAAGAAATAAAAATTAATAAAAATAAAAAAAAAAAAAATAATAAATAAAATAAAAATTTATTCTTCTTTATTCTGCCTCTTTATTCTTCAAATTCCAAATATTTTAAATACTTACCAAATGTCCCAAAAGAAAATTAAACTAAAAAGTATTTTATTCCAACTTATAGATTTTTTTCATTATCGCATATTCACAAAAATATATTAAATAAAAGTTGGGTGGCTATAACTGAATTTTGTTAAAATTAAATAAAAACACAGATTTAAGAAGATATACTTTTTTAAAATGGATTACCCTATAGGTATATTATTATATGTTTAGAATAACCTAATTTCTTGGATTTCAAAAATATACCCTATTACCCTTATACTATTTACGAGTAGGTTACTAAAGAGTCTTTAAAATTTAAAGGACGTTTAAATAAATAAATAAAAAAAAAATATTTAAAAAAAAATAAAAATAAAGAAAATAAAAAATTAATAAATAAAAATAGGCGGATTAAAAAAAATATAAAAATAAGTAAATAAAAATAATTATATAAATAAAATTAAACAAAAATAAATAAAAAGATAAAAGTAAAAAAAAATAAATAAAAAATAAAAATAAATAAATATAAAAAATAAATTTTTATTTTATTTATTTTTATTTATATTTTATTTATTTTTATTTATTTTCTTTTACTTTTATCTTTTTATTTTATTTTTGTTTAATTTTATTTATATAATTATTTTTATTTATTATTTTTTTATTTTCTTTAGTTTTATTTTTATTTTTTTTTTAATATTTTTATTTAGTTCTTTTTTATTTGTTTTTATTTTTATTTTGTCATGTGAGCCATTTCATTATTTAGTCATGCTCTAATCGTCCAAGTCCCTCTCTGTATTATTTGGCTCAACTTGTCCGATTATTATACATAATTAAACCCCTTAACATATGTGACGACTATGGCGTAGGCACTTTCGCGGACATTCCTGAGTCAACGGGATAATGTTTCTAGTCTATATTTGGATATAAAGAGATATTACTGGTTTGGCGGAGGAGCATTCTGGAACCTTCACCATAATTTTAAATTGGTATATAAATATTGGTGGAGAATAACGCTGAATCAGTTATTATATGGACAGTGAAGATAAATAGTGAACAGTTTAAAGACATTCGAAATATATATATATATATATATATATATATATATATATATATATATAAATTAGAATAATAGTGTTATAAAATAAATAAGTGTTTAAATAAATCATTAATAAATAAACTGTTGTTTAAAATAAACAAACATCACAATTTATTT